ACACAGGGATATATAGGGAAATCTTTTAAAATTTTCTTTTCAAGTACTTCAAAGCTATGATTTGTGATATTTATATGGAATCATCCTCAGGTAATGTAGATTCTAGTTTGTTCAAATGATGAATGCCTGGAGGGGGGGGGGGGGTAAATTCAAGCCCGATGTGCTCAGGTGAGCGCTGTGGCCCCTGGGCCTCTAGTTAAGGATTCAGATGAAAAGTGAAAATGTTTTGTTTTTTTTAAGGATTCAGAAGATACTTCAAAATTGACCAATGTTGTGGATAGTCTGGTAGGGAAGGTGTTAAAAGACAACAAGGAATTACTGGAGCAATATCTAGAGGAGGAAGGTAAAGGGGCAGAGTTATACAAGTTTTGACTGACACCTCTCTAACATGATTAAGTGTGAAAGGGTGGGGAGATAATAGTTTTGACTGACAGCTAACTAACTGATTTTATCCGAGGGGGGAGAGTGAAAATAGTTTTAATTGACTGTTCACTAACATGATTTCATGTGAAAAAAGGGTGGGGGGATGATAATTTTGATTGACAGTTTACTTACTGATTTTATTTGAGGGGATAGAGTAATAGTTTTGATTGACAGTTCACTTGGAGGATTTTATCTAATAGAGGAGGGAGACTTCATATGGTGGAGGGAGGATGGAGAGAGAAATATTGGTTTTAATGACAGCTTACCACATAGTGTAATTAACTTAGGGGGGGTGCAGAGAGATAATAGTTTTATTGTCACTTCAAACCATTACAGATCTGTAAGATTCTAATAATGGAATTATATTTTGTTAACAGTTGTACCTAAATTTGAAGAAAAGTTTGAAAAACAAGTGGAATTGAGTCCAGCCTCAGCTCTTCAAGTTCACAAGCCAAAGGCCAAGCGGAAGAAGAGGGAAATCAGGGTCTTTGTGTCCAGCACCTTCAAAGACTTTTCTCAGGAAAGAGAGGAAATAATCAAGAAAAGTTTCAGAGAGGTTAGAATTGGCCAATTTAAGATATCTTATGCATGTGTACATTTATAATTTCAAAGGTTTATAAGGCCATTTTAAGTGTTTTTTCTTTGTTTAGTATCCCCATTTTTTAACGAGGCTGGGGTGTGGCAGCCATTTTCAGACTATTTTTATCTCCTTTAAAAGGAGAGCTCCATATGAAGATACAGGAAATGATAAAATTTTTAAACTAAAATGTATGAATTTTTTCTTTGTGAAATGATTGTAGACAGCTTAATTTACCGTATCCAAAAAAAAAAATAAGTTAAATCTGGTGGTTAATTTGTGATTAATTTGTTGACCCCCCAGCCTCCTTAAAATCCATTTTTTTTTCCATCTGGAAAAAAAGGGGGGGGTTAAAAATCAAAATTTTAAACACATGCAGTCCTAAAATTTTTCATCATCATTTGACAATTCTTCTGTCATTGTAATTTAAGGGGGCCAACTATAGTTTCATTGTGTGAAAACTACAATAGCGAAACTCTTTATTTTTATACCATATATAACTTACATTAACTTTAGTGTGTACGCAAAGTTTTGGGGAAATCTACTGACCAGTAGGTATTTTTGAGGGACCGTCTCAAAATACAGGTACATTTACTATAGGATTTTGTAGGAAAATACCAATTTTTAGCACTTTAAAGCAAATTATACAAATACTACAATAGACATTTTGTTCAAAATATAATATTTTATGAGCAATACTAAATGATACAATATATGTAAGAAACACAAAATTCTACCATCTTGTTAAGAGAGGGAGCATCTCAAAATGCAAAAAAATTAGCAAATTTTACTATTTTTATACGTAAACACTGGATTTACTAGAAAACATAATAAAAATATTGGAGATATTCTAAAAAAAAAATTTGTTTTAAATTTCAAGAGCGTATGTTTATTACTTTTTCTATAATAATATTTTTATTACCCCTTTCTTTAAGAGCTTCAGATTACCATAACATCAAAAAGACACAGCAGCGACATCAACCTACCTATCAGTTGCAAAATCGGTTAAATAATCAGTTATATCAAATTGTAATTAAATTTTTATACCTATAATTTCTTAATTTTGTTTAATTTTAATAATCAAACAAAAAAAGTTGCTTTGAAACAGAAAATACGCTTCGTTTCACTATGATGCGCAAAATATTGCGCAATGGAAACTATAGTCAGCCCCCTTAAGTACTAATTTATGCATGCTTTTAATTTCATAATCTAAATACAATCTGTCCATGGAGGCTATGCATAACTGGGGAATATCCCAATTTATTTTTATGCTTTTCAGATTAATAGGATTTGTGCAGAGAGGGGCGTATTCTTTACCTACGTGGACCTGAGATGGGGGATATCCTCAGAACAGTCATCAGATGGAAAAACTATCGCGATCTGTTTGAAAGAGGTACCTGCTAAGTTCATAAAAATCTCTAAATCTTTCTGTAGATTATTGTACACTTCAATGTACATCAATTAACATTATTTCAAAGAAATCAATGTAAAGCATGAAGCTTGCCATCAGAATTGAAACATGACTGTAGTGTAGCTATAAATGAAAAAACTTAGTTAACTTTCAAAAGGCTTCATTTCAATAGAAATGCAATGGGTCTAACATTGATATTTCAACTAAATATTAAAAAATCCTTCTTCCAATTATGATTTTATTGGTCTTTAGAATAAGGTGCACACTGAATCATAGGTTTGAAAATGTTGAAGAAGAGATTTTGCCTTGCCTTTAAACAGATTGAGCGGTGCCGTCCGTACTTCCTGTGTCTGATGGGGGAGAGGTTTGGTTGGAGTCAGAAGAGCGATTCAAATGACGAGCTGCTCTCCAAGACGTATGATTACGCGGTGGAGAATTATCCGTCCCTGAAGTGGATAAATGAGCACCGGTATAACACAAGCGTAACTCAGGTGAGATCTCGCTAGAGCTGGAGAAAGTGAGCAGAAAATTTAGCATTGTAAACCATAATAAAAATTAAAGCATCAATATTACATCTACATGTAATTCAATGTTCTACAAGTAATACAAAATTTTACGGAAATTAATTTTTTAACAAGTTAGCGTTGATTTGGTTTAGTGCATTTCTTTGATGTTCTTCTTTATGTAAATATGTGCAAGACATTTAGCGGATGTTTCTTTCCGCCTAATGTGCTTAAAAGAGCACACAGCCGAATGTAATATATTAACAGTAAATTTAAAGATCAGATTAAAACTAGATACTAGTCTTGTACATGTACTTTGTAATTTATAATTAGTTAGGCAACTGCATGAAATGGAGGCGAACTTGAATCTACATTTGTATTCAGGAAAAAAGCATGTGCTCTTAAATTAAACTTAATATAGCTTACATTTGTACTATTTTGGTAAAACTTGAACAGCATCTAGTTTATACAGAAAATATATACAGTAAAACTTGGTTATAGCAAAGTCGCTGGGACCGTAATTCGTTATTATACTTATAATGAATTCAATAAATTCATGATGCTGGGGATCCAGAAAACTATGGTATAATTGGAGGAAAATTCTGTGAATTTGCAATATCCAGGTTCATACTAAATGAGTTTTACTTACATTTTATTATTAAATGATTCAGTTATTTATATTTTTTAATAGCTGGAGGTCCTTCATGGAGTTTTAAATGACATAGAGATGAACACAAAGAGGAGCTTCTTCTACCTCCGAGAACCAGTTAAAATGGGGAATATGGACGAGAACGAATTCAAGGTAACAGGCTTTGACAAACTTAATTACCAAGAAGTCTGATAAAAATGTCCAAATTTATTTAAAAATATTCACAGTAAAGATATTTCAGAAATTGTATCTGCAGTTGAATACTTTAAACCAAATTTAATTTGCATATGAGAAATTTTTGCCAGATTCGTGAGAGCCATGTAATTGCAATTATTTGTCACTGCTAACCAGTCCTTAAAGTGTATGTGTCTATTAACAACTGATCCAGAAAGGCTTGATTGCAAAAATTAATCGTCACGAACTTGTTTACAACATGTAAATCACGAAATAAAGTTGTCACGAAAAGAAGTTGGTTTACAGTATTATAGAAAATTCAGAGCACAATGTCAAATGAGTAGAATTTACCCCCGTTGTAGAAGCATCAAGTCAAAAGTAAAGGATTTTATTTTTATTGCCACGATTGATGCACCAGCTTTTCGCCTCTTCTTTTGATGATGTAGGTCAGTTGTGATACTTCGTTTTGCATTGTGAGAAAGATAACTCTTAGGATGCATTCACAGATTTCAATGGAGAAAAAAATTTCCAGGGTTGATCCTTGAAAACAGAAATACATATCCTCAAAAAACCCATTTTCCAATGCATAGCTTTCAAACATTAGGTCTGTATTAAAAGACTAAGTAATCCTTGTACCATACACCCTTGTCAGAGTTGCCAGTGTAAAGTTTAATCTTTTTTAAAATTCTTGTCCTTTGCTAGCTGTTTATGTTGAAGTCAATATAATGTAGTTTCATTCAAACTTACAAGAGACCAAAGTGGCATTTAATAGCAAAAAGCAATCAAAACATTGAAGGAGAAAAATCTGAATGGTGTGTTCCCGTTTTGCACACATTTGTAATTAGGTATAGAACGGGAGGTCAACATTACTACTACATTGCTAAAATTTTCAACTCATTACCGCTACATTTTTACAGATTTTCGACCGATCATTACCGCTACATTTTTCCGGTCGAAAACAACTCATTACCGCTACATACTGAATCAGCCAAAAACAACTCATTACCACTACATATCGATTTAGTCAGGTATGGTGCAAGTTTTCACAAAGAGTTCGACACAATGTTTTATAGTTCTCATCCGAGCATTTTTAAAATTTTTTGGCCAAGATTCAGTCAGTCCAGACAAAAAGTTACTTGAAAATGCGTGCTGCAAGAAACAAGATTCTCCCAGGATGAAAGGAGAATAGCAACACAGCACAAAAAGGGAACTGAAAGCTAAATACGACATTGGGGAAATGGCAAGGCAACAATATGTCAAGCAAATGGCTTTCAAGGTTTTACCAATAGTGTAAAAAAAAACATTTGACAAAACTTAAGGTTTTATCTATGAACAGTGCTTGATTTTAATTTTTTGGTGTTTTATGAAATAAAATTGATTTTAATAAAAAAAAAAAAAAAATCCAGCTCAAAGTCTTACTTTCACCTCCCCGTGGTGAGCAAGGGAAATAAGACTATAAGACTTATGCATGTATAGTTTGTACTGTACACGCATAAGTGGCTGGCTAACAATGTAGCGGTAATGTATACTTTTTTATGTAGCGGTAATGTGACGTTTTTTGTAGCGGTAATGACTATGTAGCGGTAATGAAAATTTCGAAAATGTAGCGGTAATTATACGCACCCTATAGAACAATAGGTGTGAAGTTTGTTTTTATAGCAATTATAGTCTGATTTCTGGTTTTGATTTACCTGGATTTACCTGTGAATACCTGATTTAGCTTAATGTATTCTTAAGGGGTTTAATACAATTTTACAAACATTTTATTAAAATTCTATATATATTTATGGGAAAATATTTGATTTTATTGAATACAATATTAATATTTATTTAATATTTTTTATTAATTAAGTACATTTTCTTTAAAAAAAAAATTAATTTTCAGTCTTGATAGCTGTGAAGTCTTGATAAAATTCTAAATGAATTCAAAATGTAACAAATAGTACAGAAATTTTTGTGTCTTTCCATGTTAGTAAATTGTTGATTATTATATTAATCTATGTTTTATCATCAAAGTGAATATATATGCAACATTTTGAACTATAAAAGAGAGGAAAAAATTCAGAGTTATCACATTCAAAAATATCATTATAATTCAATAACTTTGTATTTATTCTCTTACTTTTTCACTATAAGTTTACCTTCCACATAACAACTAATCATGGTATAGACTATAGGAATTAAGTAATTATCTCACCTGGTCAAATTCCCGTTTTCACACATTTTTTAATTGCTTCTAATTAAAATGTGTGCAAAACGGGAACAACCCATCTGAATATACCATATCCTCTGTGGCAGTAATCATTTTTTAAACTGGTAGTGTAACTATGTTCATGTAATTGTCTTGAGAAAATGCCTGAAAGAGTGTAATGATAATTAATATGATACTGTTAAAATTATTTGTAATCATTTTAGAAATTCAAATCGGAATCAGAGTGGCATAATGAGAGACAGATGTCCCTGAGAAACATGGTGGAACAGCTGGGAGAAAAGGCCAACATCCGATCGTTCTCAAAACCGACACAAGTCTCCCAGATGATCAAAGAGGTATGTTAATTGGTCCTAATTTTTCAAAATGGAACACAGTATTTTCCTTTCATTATATTATATATTCAGAACTTAACCAAAATAAATATATCAATTATTCAAAAGTAAAGTAACATGATCATTGTTACAGGCACAGACCAGATCACCTTCACCCACCTTTTTTTTCAAATATAACATTTTGTTATTGAAACTGTTCACTAAAAGGCCAATTGGCCCCTGTCCACATTTTGCTGATTTATAGTCCAATATGGGTAGTGTAATAGTGTACTTGTATGATTAAAATTTAGTGCTGAAAAAATTATAACCCTCCCCATTTTGATGCTTCCTAACCACTAAACTGCTTTCTGTAAACAATACAGTTTTATATTATATTTATGCAGGATTTACAAAAATGCATTGATGAGGATTTTCCCATTGGATCAGAGCTAACTCCTCTTGAACGTGAAAGAGAGGCTCACCAGGCCTTTGCTGATGTGAGATGTCAGGTTTACATAGGGAGGGAGGAGTACTTCACCGAGATTGACAGCAATATGGAGAAAGGAATCAATCAGCCCATGGTTCTACTGGGAGAATCTGGTAAAGAAATTTTTCATGATCTTGGTTTTCTCTATTAATCCTAGTAATTAATTTCAGCTGTGCGAAAATACACTGTATTCAGTCTAGGGAAAATGTAGGTTATGATTTATTCATTAACATTAATTTCTTTTATTCAATCAATTTTTTCTTGCTGTTTTTGTGATAAAATAAGACTATGGAAATGATACTAGAGTGAAGTATTTGATAAACAGTGAATTTGAAATAGAGGAAAAAATCAATCATTTATAAGTTACCTGGGTAGATGTTATCATGAGTGAATTCATTATTTCAGGCTGTGGAAAATCTGCTTTGGTTGCCAACTGGGTGAAAAGAACTCAGAATAAATACCCCGAAGCCTTCATCTTTGTTCACTTTATTGGAAGTTCTGCTGAAAGTTCCAGTTACTTAAAATTACTAAGAAGGTAGTATGATAGTAACTGTGAATAAAATAAGATTACTAAAGATGTTATACTGGTTACATTTGCTAAAAATGAAAAAAAAAATAATTATGCCAGCTTATAAATTTTGGAAACTATTGAGAAGTTAAAAATTACAAAGAGGCTCAGATAACATCATTCAGAGGGAATTAGGCCATTGACTTAATGTTATTTAAGAAGCTTTTTGCTTTATTTAGTATTTTTTTAAAATCTGAAACACTGATAGTTACCTATGCATTTAGATAGATTTTTTGATAGCCCTATCAGTGTATTAGGTCCGACATGTATTGGTGGCATTTTGACATTTACTGTAAACCAACTTTTATTCGTGGTGACTTTATTTCGCAATTTCCCATGGGTAAACTAATTCGTGACAACTAATTTTCGCGATCAAGCCTTTTTGGATCTGTTGTAAATAGACAAGAGATGTTAAAGACGGTTCATGGCTAGAATTATTAGCGATGACAAGGCTCTGGCAAACCTTGCACGCGATTAAAAGTTGGTCTTCTGTATTATAGATTAAAGTTAACTTTCTAAACTTTTTTTGCTTCTTTTTGGTAAAGACTAGAAAACTAATCTTTTATTTTGCCAGATTGTATGAGGAAATGAAGATTTTCTTCCACCTTGACCTTGACATTCCTAACTCGGACATGACCTTGGTGAGAGAGCTGGGTAAATGGCTGAAGATCTGTAGTACCAGACAGAAGTGTGTCATTGTCCTGGACGCCCTAAATCAGCTGGATGATGGATCCAAAGAGGACGGTCAGTATCGGTCAATCAGTAAATACTGTCAATTATTAAAGAGGATTCATTAAACTTTTTTTATCTACAATTTTGTAGCAAAATGATATGAAAGTACATTGCATTTTGAAATTTTGCATTATTAGGAGTGGAGCACAATTTGTTATGGATACCTGGAAATCTGCCAAAGAATGTTTTCATTTTGTTGTCAACTTTACCTGGAAGGGTAAGTTTCTAAGAAGATCATCTTAAAGGCCTACCCCTCCTACTCCTACCATATTTTCGCATACGATTATTTTATATCTTTCACTAATTATTTCAGTAAAATAAATTTGATTTATAAAAACATTTTAATTATCTCAATGAAAATTTTTGGGGCATATTGCAATATTCTGACTTAATTTATGTGTACTGAGTAGAAATTTTAGCTAGGATTCTATTATTGAACTTTTGTAAATTTAAAGTGTTAAGATAGCTTAATTAAATCAAATATTCCTAACAATTCATTTGAGGTTACTGTTATCTTTTGAGGCATCACAATATCACAAAAATTACTTCCTGATAAATAAAATCCAGATTTTATTAAAAAATATTTAAATTTTTGGTATTTTTTGTTTTCTTTCTAATCTCTAATTCTGCATGAACAGACTTTGAAATAGATTGTAAAGAAGTACAACCTTTTTTCCTTTTGTGTCTAGGCAAAGGACGCTGTGTTAAATTTTGGATGGCCGACAATGAAGGTGTCCCCACTGGAGAATTCCCAGAAGATGGAGATAATCACGGGGTACCTGGAGGGAATTTATGGTAAAACACTCAGTCAGGAGCAGAAAGAGATGATAGTGGACGCTCCACAGACAAATAATCCGCTGTATCTACGATCTCTGTTAGACGAGGTAAGGTCTACAATTAATTTATATATTATTCCCTGTATCTATGATCTCTGTTAGATGAAGTAAGATCAACAATCCACCATATCTACGATCTCTGTTAGACAAGGTAAGGTCAAAAATCCGCTGTATCTACGATCTCTGTTAGAGGTAAGGTAAACAGTCCAGTAAACCACATTATAAATCACTTAATATTAATTGGGTCTCTGACACATGGAATATCATAATTCTGACAATAAAGGGTGGTGAGCCATCATAAAGAAGTTTCAATACCATATTAAGTTGATACTTTGTTTCATAACTTTGTTTGTTATCTTACTTTTATATTACCAAGGGAAGTGCAGCGTTATACTTTTGAACACTCGAAAAATCAATTACATTAGATTGTAATCAGTGAAATAAAAAAGAAAGAACTATGTTTCACATTGAAAATTTTTTTTTCTTCTTTAATTTTTTTTCAAAGTTATCATCAAATTAGTTCAGTTAGTATAGGACTTGTATCTGTGACTTAAATGTATGGTCTTCCAAACTTACCTCTCTCATTGAGATATTTACTCATTTTGTAGGTGCGTATGTATGGTAACTTCCGTATGTTGACACAAAAGATCCAGGACTACCTTCAGGCAGACAGTCCTGGTGTACTGTTCACAAAAATTCTGGAGCGTCTAGAGTCTGATTTTAATTTGGATGATACATCATCGTAAGTCTTAGAACTACAGTACCGACCGGACACAACCTAACAGAAAGCGAACCCGGAGCGGACCCCGGGTTCGCTCTCTGGGTCCGCTCCGGGTTCGCTCGGGGTCCGCGAGGGCTGACCCCGAGCGAACCCGGAGCGGACCCAAAGCGAACCCGTAGCGTACCCCGAGCGAACCCGAAGCGGACCCAGAGAGCGAACCCCAAAATCAGTAGCGGTCCCAGAGAGCGAACGCAGGTTCGGTATTTCTTTACAGAGCTGTCAATCAGGATTAGCGATTAACCAATCAGCGCATCAACCAATCAAAATAGCATATTAATCCGACGATTAGGATATAAGATCGAACGTGTTGATTTAATTTGATATAAATGCAAACCCTGTACATACAAGCAAAACGTGTGAATGTGCTGTGTAAATCTATTATGATTATAAAAATATTTTTTTAATATTTATTTATTTTAATCCTCCGGGTTGCATATTTATAATTATATTTATTTTCTTTTTTATTAAGGCAATTAATTATTATGTTTTAATTTTCCACGTAGAATTATCGTTAGTACATGAATATACACTATTAAAGAAAGAAATCCGGACCGCTATGAAATACGTCTGATTTATCGGGGTAAACTCAGGCGATTTCCATAATTGAACGAATTAATTATGCTAATTAATCTCGACATTTAGTAAATCGTACATTGTTTCATTCTCTCAAAATGGCGTAACTATACTTGACAAAGAATAATCAGAGAAATATAATATAGAAGGGATATTTTAACATATGAATTATGATCTATTATAAATCAATGTAAATATCGAAATGTTTTTGGACTAATTATAATTATTGGGAAAAAATATTGATAAAGGCGTAAGCAATACGTAGGTATGTGGATTGTTCGAGAGTTGGTAACGCAAACTAACTGTAGAGTTACACTAAATTGAAGGAATAATCTTTTTTATGTATCATCAGTAATTGCGTTAAATTCACGTTCATTCTGGTAAAGTCATTCAGTTTGTTAATACCATTAGGGTGGAATGACTTCAATCTGTGCATCCAGAAGGAAGATTTCCATATACACGCATTTTTTTCATGCCCAAGAAGATAAAGAAGATTAACATGATTCAGAAGATCAATAATTTTGACGTAAATTTAGAGTAATTTAATGTAACACGTAAATTGAGAAATCATAAATAAAATAATTAAATAATTAGAATATTATAAAGACAATGTGTGTGTGAAAAAGGGGGCCTATGTTACTATATTCTTATCGGTTCGGGAGAACATTTATCATTTGCCTTTTTCTTTATTCTGATAAAAATCATACTCGCTCCAAAATTCTGTCCGTGAAAAAATCTTATATACAGTGTATTTTTTTTTTTTTAAATGTCCAGTAATTATTTATTACGAACTTTTAATGTGTAACTACTATGAATGAAATCTAAATATATCAGATATACAAAAGGTAACATGCAATTGATAGATGCGAACAAATGTATTTTTAAACTATATAAAGCATGAATTTTAAAGGTATTTAGTTTATATTTCTTTCGTCAGTTTCACTTGTACACCATTCGATACACTGAAAATCAATTCAACACTCTTTCCTTCCTCTTAACTTCTTTTTTGTTTTCTCGTTATACATTGTAACTTAAGAATAATAAATGCCTTATAACCCGCCGTTAAATTAGTTTGAATTTCTCGTGATCGAAAAATCAATGAAATCAATTTTTCATGTACATATAAATCTTCGTCGAATGTACAGTTGAATTTTAGAAAATGTATCAATGTTCTCCATTATATCACTGTTTACATGTACAGTGTACATGTCAGCATCGTCGCAAAAACAACAATGATCGATCCACAATACCATTACTGTATTGAAATAAACAAGGGGCGGGGCTAACTGGCGGTGAGATTAAAGTGGGGTCCGCTTCACGCATCAGTGCGTAAAGCGGTCCCAGGAAGCGAACGCCGGGTTCGCTCTAGCGGACCCAGAGCTGACCCCGAGCGAACGCGGAGCGAACCCGGAGCGCACCCAAAGCGCACCCGAAGCGGTCCCAAAATTTCTGAAAGCGAACCCGAAGCGGACCCCGAGCGAACCCGGGAAGCAAACCCGGGGTCCGCTCCGGGTTCGCTCTGGTGTTAGGTTGTGTCCGGTCGGTACTGTACATGTATATTTTTCTATGTATTGAGTCCTACAATTTAAAACTTCTGGCATATGATCCTGATGATACATGTAGTTCTTATTTATGACACTGACTGTCACAGTAAAAAATGAAAAAAAAATTACTGTATGAATTTTTTCTTGTTGATGTATTTTGTTTATTTACTTTTACTTACTTACATTAATTTTCAATTATAATTGCAATTATATTAGTACAAGAAAGTACAGGTTAATTTTAGAGAGAAAAAAATTACAAAAAAACTTGACAGATGTCTTTGCCATGAAGGAATAATGCAGTTAATGGTTAAGAAAAATAACATAAATTATATATTTTTGTATATAATTTCTTAGGAAGTTAGTCCTCTTATCAGAAGGACATAAGACCTTAATAAGAGGTTTCTTACTAGAAGCTGTTTAGTTTATGTTGAAAGGGTTTGAAATATTTAGTACTTCAATATATTTTTTTCATATTCAGATCTGGAGTTGGAATTGTGTTGAAGAGAAAACAAAGGTAATACTATACATGTGAATAAAATGCCCTTGGCAAATTTATTATTCTTGCAACAAAAGGGTGTCAACATTTTACTTACATCAGAATGTAAAGAAATAATCTTTGATCTACTTCATAAATGGCATTTAAGCATTCCCATATGCATGTAATTCAAATTAAAGTTCAATCTTTAAAGGTCATCTGTTTTTAAAGTGTAGTTTTTATGCAGGATGCCCACAATTTCCAGGTGTTTGAGAAAGAATCATATATTATGTTTTCAGAACAAACATGATTCGTGAAACCACTACGGCTATTTGGTGTTCTAACAGAGGCATGTCTGAAAATGAGTTGGTGGAACTGCTTGAGGTACCAATTACTTTTCTTGTCAGATCATTTTTAATTAGAGGTTATGTGAGTGCCCTTTTAGCAATTGGTCTGTCTGTCTGTCTATCTTTACATCCATCTCCAAATTCTATGCTTTTTTACCACGATTATAACTTTCTACATGACCATAGACAAAACAATCTATTTTTGAATATTCATCATCAAGCAGCTGCTTAAGACCCCATTTCAGAATTAATATAAGATTAATTTAATTGGTTGTATTCACTGAGATTAAAAGTGCCAATTTTTTTTTTTTTTTTTTTTTTTTTTTTGTGATTGTTGTATAATTGTCTTCTTTTTTATGCGCCCGGATCAATAGATACGGTGCGATTATTGTTTTTGTCCTGTCTGTCTGTCTGTTGTCAACTTTAACCATCGCCAAAACTTTTGAACCATAAGAGATAGAGACTTCATATTTGGTATGCATACTCCACTAATAAAGTTCTTTCAAATGACATCAAGGTCAATGACCTTGTGACCTTGACTGTGACCTATATGCTAAAAATAACTTTTTCAACTGTTTGTCATAACTTTTGAATTATAAGATATAGGGACTTCATATTTGGTTTGCATACTCCACTAATAAAGTCCTTTCAAATGACATCAAGGTCAATGACCTTGTGACCTTGACTGTGACTTATATGCTAAAAATAGCTTTTTCCTCTTTTTGCCATAACTTTTGAACTAAAGGAGATAGGGACTTCATATTTAGTATGCATACTCCACTAATTAAGTTCTTTCAAACAACACCAAGGTCAATGAGCTTGTAATCTTGACTGTGACTTATATGCTAAAAATAGCTTTTTCCTCTTTTTGCCATAACTTTTGAACTATAGGAGATAGGGACTTCATATTTAGTATGCATACTCCACTAATTAAGTTCTTTCAAACAACACCAAGGTCAATGAGCTTGTAATCTTGACTGTGACCTATATGCTAAAAATAGCTTTTTCCACTTTTTGCCACAACTTTTGAACCATAGGAGATGGGGACTTCATATTTAGTATGCATACTCTACTAATTAAGTTCTTTCAAACAAAACCAAGGTCAATGACTTTGTGACCTTGTCTGTGTCCTATATACTAAAAATAGCTTTTTCGAACTTTGTTGATGCGGGGCGCATAGTGTTTCACAAACTCATCTTGTTGCTGTGTTGCATTAATTCAGGCATAATTTTATAACACTTTCTCTAGGTCCCTATGGCAGTGTGGTCCCCATTCTACATGTCTCTATCTGACAGCCTCGTCAACAAGGACGGAATCCTCAATTTCTTCCACGACCATCTCCGCCAGGCCGTGGAGAGAAAGTACCTCAGTACCCCAGAGGAGAAGAAAGCCACTTATCTAAAGCTAGCTAATTATTTCTCTACCAAGGAACTTACAGACAGGGTGGTTAGTGTATTGTTATCTAAAACTGGCTCCAATGGCATATAAGAAACATATTGCAAACATTTATTGCCCAGTTAGACAGGGTTAAAGATGTTTGTGTGCTTATAACAAAGACTGAACACCTCCATGTATCTTCCACAGGTAGATGAGCTCCCCTTCCTTCTGGCCAAGGCTGGTGAGCTAGACAGGCTCAAGGAGACCATCAGCAACTTTGATGTTTTCCAGAGACTGATTAAGGATGAAGATAGGACATTTGAGCTCATCAAATCCTGGCAACTCGTAAGACTTTCTGTATACAGGGCTACAAGTGTCATTGAATACTTTCATGTTTTATTCATGAAAATATCAGTTTGAAATAAATCCACAACAATTGCGACTGAATAAAAATTTCTCTACAAATACTAAGCAAAATGATTGGTTCGTAGAGATTAATATTCGTGAGTTAAAGCAGGTCCATGTCGCGGAACTCAAGATTTCTGGCATGCAAAAAAATAATTGGTTTACAGTATTATTTGATCCCACTTGAGTCAAGATTGTACAGTTTAAATTAGTCAGATACTGTTTTAAAACCATACTTTAGATCACTAAATATTGATGATACCTTATTTTTTAGCCAGATTGCCATCAACTGTTTATTAGCGAAACAAAATTATTTTTCACGAATTGTGGCTTTTGCTCTATACAATCTAAAGGAATGCGAGAATGAAATTTTCGCAAGCAAACTGTCTTGCGTAATTACACAATATTAAAGTTTTCGTGAATAAAAAGTGATTTACAGATAGTATTGTCACAAATTACAGTTTTGTACTGTTACTGTTTACTAGCTAGGAGATTACACATTAGTGGAGGAGGAATACTTTAAGAAGCTGTCTGAGATCCCAGAATCGGAGCGAGGGACAGAGAACTACTCCGCCCTTCTGGATGACCTGGGGGGATTCTTTGTGGATCTTGGACTGTACAAGGCAGCCAGGTAAGATAAAAGTGGATATAAAAAATATTTAGTTTTAGTCTAAAATTGAAGAAGTCATTGATACTAGTGCATGTTATATGTTTTGCTAGATAGGAAAGCTTGCACTCTGTATTTTGCTTGAACAAAATGTGCCAAAAACTGTGAAAAATTTGAGTAAAATGAGAAAATTCTTAAGTTGATGAATGATCTTTCTCATCACTATAAATCAATATAATCTTTTAAAATAATGAGGATGACAAATGATTTTGATTATGAAATATTGCATTATTTTAAGAGACACCATAAATTAGGGCCAAAAGGTGGTCTTAATCTATCTTGTCCTTTGTGAACTTTAAATTTAGTCTTCTATTTCAATTCCAGTCCAAATGTTTATTTGTAAGAAAATTATCTTTATACAGTATTTGTTGTGATAATCAGTTAAAATTTTACGATTTCTCACTGGTTTTAACTACCTTTTTAGGTAAAGCAGAATTCCAGACAAATGTTTTTAAAATAATACCATGTGAAAAAAAAAACATAAATGCCCATTTCATGTTCCATTGTAGGAAGGTTTATGAGATGCTAGTTACTGTGATAGAAGCCCGATACAAGGCTGACTACACAACAGTGGTGTACAGTGCCTTCGCACAGAAGTGGAAGTATCGAACCAGACACCCAGAAGTACTCAACGTAAGTATAGAGTAACTTTTAAACTTCAGCATCTCAAACACTGATATCTCGAATATCTCAGATATGCCGAGCTGATTTTGTACTCTCATTTACAAATTCTGTGAGTATTTCATCCTTAATAAATGTACCATGAATCCTCAGATCTATCAATATCTCAGAAATCAAATAGCTCGAATTCTTGGACATCTTGAAGTTTGTTCTGGGTCCCATTAAGTCTGAGATAACAATTAAGGTTTTCACTTTAAATTAGTAAAACACAGAGGTGCAACACCAACACTATGTAAAAAATCCATTGATTTGGTTTGTCCAACATAAAAACTGAAAAGAATTTTACTCAAAACTAAATTGAGACAATGTAATATCATTAACCTATTTCCACTTTTAACTCATCCAGGGGCTGTCCTATAATTAACATAAGTAGATGTATAATTAATATTGTCATTGTAGGCATTGCAGAAGCTTGGGTTGATCTGTGAGAAGTTGATGGAGCTAGATGCCAGTCGATATTATTATGAAGATGCCATCACCAGACAAAACAAGGCAGTAACTCCCACACAAAAACTACAGGTACTTGTATATACTTTAGCTTTATAATATGGAGCAGTTTAGGGAATATGATATTCAGTTTATTCACTATGTATTTTATCTTCCGATGGTTTACAAGCAGTGTATTTAGGTCACCTTATACACTCAGGTCTGAGAAGTCACCATCTGTTTTTGTCCATGGTTATGCATCATAAAGGACACCTGTCAAATATTTTCCATCAATCGTCACCTTTTAATTCTTTCAGCTTCTTCCCTTGAATAGCTGAAAAATACACAGGTCTTAGCTTTGAATACATTGTATTCAAAGCTAAGACGTGATTACATACATGTCCTTTTTGTCTTTGACAGTTGTGTGAAGGTCTTCTTGGATTGGCAGCTGTAATGAACCTTAAGAATGACATGCCCCAGTCTAAGAAACTTTTGATACGAGCCCTGGAGCTGGCTACTGAGGTGTTAGGAAGACAGCATCACTTTGTGGCAGCCATTCTGAACAAGGTATAGTTGTCCTCATGAATGAATCTTGAACTTTGAACTTTAATAGACTTAATAAACAATTTTCTATTAATTTATCAATCCAATATATGGATTAATAATGATTTACTGTATATGTATACATATTTCAAATTTTGACACAGTAAAACAAACTGCAATGTACAGTGTGCAAGTTCTCAGTTTTGGAGAGTAATTGGAAAAAACGAATATTTTTTTTTCTGATAATTACCAACCAAAATGGTTCACAATTTTTCAAGATTATTTGGAAGATTAAGTTTCCAACCTTTCTTAAATCAAGATGCAATATAATTTTTTACAAATTTATATACATGTACCAAAATTTTATAGAGACATTTTAAATTGTTGGAAGGAATTTAGAACCTATGATAATGTTCGTGTTGAACCTAATATATTTAAGGAGATTTTATGGTTTAAACTTTAATGATAAAATAAAGATAAACAGAGCACCTATCTTCTGGAAAAAAAACAAATTTTCTTGTTTTTTAACCAGTTGGGAGTGTTGGGTTACACCCAGAGTCGTGTGGACGAGGCCCTGGCTTACTATCTCCAGGACCTGAAGCTGACCCGGAGCGAGGTGGGCGTGAACCACCCCAGGGTGGCCCGTATCCTGGGCTCCATAGGAATGGTGTACGATGACAAGAACGACAAACTGGCCGGGGAGCTGTACGAGAGCAGTCTGGCCATGTTGTTAGATACATACGGGTCTGCCCATGTTGACGTGGCTACTGTAAGGTGGGTACATTGGACAGAGGATTTCTGTTTTGGGAACCATGCAGTGTTAACTAGCATAAATTTGGTGAATAAGATTGAGGTATATTTGAGGCAAAAAGTGAGAGAGTACATGGTTCTTTTCTGGTCCTTGAAAAATCAAGTAAAATCAAATAATCAAAAAGTTTTTGTTCCTATTAATAGAGAGATAAGGTATTTTTGCTTTGAGTGACATCTACAGTATGCACGAATGATTGCAATTGCTGAAATAATGCTTTAGGTAATTATTTTAAATGTTAAGTTTAGCAGATTTGTAAGTAAAATTGAAAACTTTGAGACACTCACTTGAATACTTCTTTTCGTTTAGAAATAGTAGGGATGTCAACGAGTACCCGGTTAACCGGGTACTCGATCGAACGTCCGAGTATCGAATACTAAAATCGGTACTCGGTTACTCGGATGTATATTTTTAAAATATTTCTAAGCTTATTTATTAATGCATTAAAACATCGGTTTTGAAACGTAAAATTTTCATTGGACTTCTACATACAGTAATTAGGGTTTCCTTCACCTCTAAATGACCGTTATCGCCTGTGGCAGTGTTTATACAGTAATTACTGTGACCAAGCACCTGGTTTTTCTCAACTTCGGCTGTCTTCTACCCTTATGTTTAGTTTGCTCTAATTATTTGTTTTCATCGAACGTCTATTATGTTTAAATAAATTAGATAATTTTGTCCTCCAGAAGCCGTAAATTCTTGAAGAAAGAGAAAGGCGATATTGCAGGTGCGATTGTTGATATGGATGCGTTTGGTTACATGCCAATTAATACAAATTGTTGAATGCAAAGATTTTAAAAATCTTTTGTCCACCCTTGCACCAAACTACAACATACCGTCTCGTAATTTTATGAAATCTAGGATCGAAAAGTGTACGAAGATCGTAAATCCGCTCTGTTACAGGAGAACTTGATAAAGTTGATACTGTACATGTAGCTCTGACGACTTGTCACTTGGACTTTAAACGCATCAAAGAGTTACATTATACAATTAGTTTTTTTTTTTTAAAACAAAGCCACTGTGAACCATTTATGATTTTATTTCTCGTATTTATCTGATGAATGAATTGAACTTAAAAAAAAATTAGATTAAATTTCGTCGGGCACAAAGTGGTCATAATTGTTACAACACATTTACAGGTAAACCTCCCATGTGGTTTTATTTCTACAAGAGTTTACAATGTTTTACAGTTATCAATTAACTTGTTCATATCAATTCAGGCTTTTTTCGAGTACCCGGGTACTCGATCGGAAAAACGTCCGAGTAACCGAGTATTAAAAATTGACCGATTTGACATCCCTAAGAAATAGATTGAAAGCTACATACCTGTCATAATAATTTTGAATTAAATCTCATTTAGATATAACCTTGGGACCTTCTACTTTGCCACGAACTACTACGCCAAGGCCAAGTTCCAGTTCAAGGAAGCCTACAACATTTACCAGGCCTTCTTATCCGAGGATCATCCAGACACCAAAGCAGCAAAGCAGGCCCTGGAGGCAGTGCCTTGATTATCCAGAAACCATGCAGCAAAGGAGGCCCTGGAGGCAGTGCCTTGAGAGTGATTTGAAAACACTTGCCTTACACCAATCATGGGGAAAGTGCCTTGAAGCACATTACTCAACCAAAGGCTATCCTTGCTGTTATACATATCTAAACCCTATCCATGTGACAAATGTCTAAACCTCTTTTGTTGTTGTTTGTTGTTTTTGCTCAACCATAAACACGCAAAATTAGTAGATACATATATGTACATGTTAAAAGACAATTTCATTCAATCTGCATAACATTTATGTAGCCGAGACTCATAATTCTTAGAATATAAAGATGAATTTTTGATATTCATGTTTTAAAATCATATACAAAGATGACTGTTACATTTCACTTTCTTCACTGTGACTGTTTTTAAGACTAACAATTTCTTAACTTTTCTGTCTTTATACATGTATTATATACATGTACATATTAGTTGATTCAAGTACACTCTTGGTTTATACACAGGGTGATTCAAACTGTTCTCATAATTATATATGAACCTAAAATGGTCAATATTTAAATATAAAGGTAAACTATAAGCTTATCCACCTGTCAGTCAATGAGAAAGGAAACAAATGTAATTTTATTCTATGTATTGAAGAGGACTTAATGTACATGCTAGCTTTGTTAGGCCACCACAAGTTATTTCATGTCAATATTAATGCATGATGGTTTCAAACATGGTTTTAAAGATAAGACAATAACAATGAGATTTCTGAAATATATTTTTCTGAAAGAATGGAAGTTAAGATGGATTTAATTTGACATGTTTGATTTGTCATTTAAATTTGAATCTTCAGTGTCAAATCGCAAGAATAATGATTCGAAAATGGAAGTTGATCAAGAGATTTTACAAAGATTTCAGCACCATTAAAATAAAGGCGAGTAATTTTATTTTGAGTGTGGTGCCTCTCGCGAAATTACTTGATAATTAATCCATGCGTATATTTAGAAATTTACAGTATAAGGCCATAATAAAAATATTCCTAGATTCTCATCCCCGCCCGCCCCGATTTTATACCCCCGCCTCGATTTTTTTTATTTCTGTTTTTCTTCGTCTTAATTCTGATCGGGATCGATATTCATCTACCATTCTACTTTCGTTTTAAATCCCGCGAAAGTTGACATGATTTTGACAGCTGAAAAGATGGTAATAGCTGTAATACATGCGTATATATTTTAAACAAGGGTCATATTGGTTGAAAAAGATTGGTGATGATGTGAAGTAAGAGATAATGGAACCTTTACTATGATATTTATTCGGGTATTGTAGATAACATTACACCGATTGACCAGGTCAATAAAAAATCTGCAAAATAGAAAAAAATAAAAAATATAAAATAAAAGCCGCCCGCCCGCCTCGATTTTTAAAAAAATTCGGATGAGAATCTAGCAATTTATTTATTATGGCCTAATTTTAATATTTTTGTGTTTTTGTACAAGAAAAATACTCTAATGAATTTAGTTTTTTGGATTTGTCTCCTTTGGAATATACAAAGTGTGTGTGTGTGTGTTTCATTTTTTTGTATAGATTTTGTGCTTTTTTTGTTTTATTTATTTTTTTCTTTTTTATCTATCATTTATTCATTAAATTTATTTTTTTTTTCAAGCATAGATAGATATATACAGTCAGTTGTACTTACTGTAAATCACTAATTTTTGTGGGGGGTTAATTTTCATTGCTTTTGAGGTATGGAGAGTCCCATGAATTTATGATCACCTGGAAATGTAGAATTTAATATGCATTACTTCTTAACATTTTAAAACCATGAAATCAAATCCCAACAAACCAGATTTTTTTCCTCAAACCTAGAAATTTAGACCCCAAGAAAATATGTGATTTTACAGTATATCTCAAACTCCATTTATACTCCACCGAAGGAAAGAAAAAACAAGATAGAAGATTAGAGTTATTGAGTGTTAAATGCTAAGAGAATTTAGTGGATTTTGACCTCAAAATCACTTTAACGTTACATGTATCATGATTTACAAGATATCAAAGTTCAGCTGCACCATAATTTACAGAGGAATGAATAAGGAAATTAAAGCATTGCATTTTGCTTTTTCTCCACAAAACTGGGTACATAGTAAAAGATCCTGTTCTTTATTTTTTAGTCTTTTCTATATACTGGGCTACTATTTCTTTTGATGTTTTGTTGTACTTGTATTACTGACTCACTGTCTCAGACTTTCATGCTGTGTTAACTTCTTTATTATACACTGTATTATTATTCTTTTGATGAAAATTTGGTGGTTGTGGCATAATAAGACAATCATTTTGAATGTATAATTGATTTTTTTAATTATTCAGCTGTGATATAATGCCTAAAAGTGCAAGTTACATTATTAGGAATATTTAGGAACTTCATGTATTATACAGTGTGTGTATTTATTAAGTCTATGCCAAATGGAAATTTTTCATTAATATTTACAATATTTTTTACAGTTTTTGATCATCCTCTTTTTTCCATTCTTTATATTCACTGTTATGATTTTTTTCTTTTTTCTTTTGAAATATCCAATCTGACAATGCTAACCAAATCACAGAAACCTGTGGACAGTAGAAAATTAAATGCTTGATTGATTCTGGTTCTAAGTTACATATTGAACAAAGCGGTGAATTTTTTATTTTAGATAGACATAGGTTTTTGTTAGTACCTAATATTCTATGGATAATTCTATAATTGAACCACATAAGTCCTGAGTCTTTTGTTGTCAATTTAAAGTTTGCATAAACATGTTTCCAATCAAAATTTAGCTTTAATTTTAGATCAGTATCCCATTTGTTTTCACAAATAGGTCTGTGCTGTGTTTTTGACATTAAATAATCATAAATATTTCTGGATCCTTTTCTGTTCTTACAAAGTATTTTTTCAAATTCTGGTTGATATGGTTTAACAAAAGTATAACCTAAATATTGTTTGATATTTGGCCATGCAGTCAAAATGCTTTGCTTCAAACCTTTGTATGTAGTAAAAGGTAATTTTATAAAATAATCATTTGTGATACTTTCATAACTAATAAAATTGCCTTCTGTATTAAATAAATCATGCACTATATGGATCGAACCCTTTATCGAACAATGGTTTACAAAATACATATTTATTTTGAATCTTTATTTTATTATCATACCACAGTGGCTCACTCAGTGAATGTAAATTAAAACTCTCTATAAACTCACTAAAATAAAATAGAGTTTCTTTCCAAAACATGTTTTGTGTGACTTTTGCTCTTTGTTTACAATATTCAGACCCAAAACTACATAACTTGTTAATATTACATCCAGTGATTTCTGAGAAAAGATTACTCCAACTGGATTAGTAGTTAAAATTCTCCTTATCCAAGTTAGTTTAAGAGATTTAATAAATGTTTCTATTTTAGTCATTCTACATCCACCATTTCTGAAATCCAGCTGCAATGTTTTTCGAGAAATTCTATCAACTTTATTTCCCCATATAAATTTATATGAAGTTTTTTGGAAGAGCTGTATCCACTACAAACTAGGTTTTGGAAGGGATGTAAATAAATGAGTGAACTTTGATAGGAACAAACTTTTTACTACTGTTATTTTTCCTAAAGGAGTAATATTTCTCTTTGACCAATGGTTTATTTCTTTTTGAATAAGTTTAAACTTCTTGTCAAAGTTAAGTTCCTCCATTTTTTTTAGATTTGCTGTATATGTTATACCAAGAACAGTAAAAGGTTCGGTCGTCCATTTTAATCCTGTATCACTGTTATGATAGTGGTATTTATATGTGCACATTCCGCAAAATACAGATAGCTTTTTTTTACTCTCTCTTTATTGTCTTGCATTTCTGAAGTATTGCTCAGACTTTTTAAAATTATCCTTTATTTTGTAATGTCTGTGATAAGAAAAAGTACATTCACTTCGTTGAAGACAGTATTGAGAAACAGTTTTTGACAAACTAATATGTCCTACATGTAACCGTCCAAAGTTAAACACAGTGATAGTTTACAGGAACTACCATGTAAATTTACGTTTGCTCATTTATTTATCATACCTGTAAGACATTCTGTGTGATTTGTCCTTATTATATCAGCATTATTCTATTTATTAATTTCATTACATCCAGTCATTGATCATAACCTTATGATATTATGTACTAACCTTAATCATCAACCACTGCTATAAAATCGTGTTGTATGTAACTAATAATATATTTCAGAATAAATCTGCCATCCATGCATACATGTATGCATTCGTTGTTGTTTTTTTTTGAGAGACAAATTGAAGAACATTTTTTTTTATTTAAAACTATAAAAACAAGATTTTTGTGAAATACTGACACCCCCCCCCCAAAAAAAAAAAGCAACTGTTGAAGTTTTTCAAATGAAAAATTCTAATTCAAAATATTATTCGTAGGGAAAGTAGTCCCGGAGAATCGACACTGTATGGAGTTTGACCTGATGAACGTTTATGTTGTTTTATTAAATATATATCCTTTTAAAAACCTTTTTTTTCTTAAATTTTGGTTACAATTCGTACATTGTTTTAGTAAAAACATAAAAGTTGCTTATATTTTGTTTTTACAAACTGTTATATTCATTTCAATTTTGCTACAGTGTAATGACCTGATATGGAATGACCTGATCTACATTGACAGGTTATGTTATTTGCGGATCAAAAGATATATACCTGGTTATAATAATTATTTTTTCAATCAGTTCTTAATGATTTCTTAAAATATACAGTTCAATCCTTCTTGCATAGAATTTTTTTTTAAATATATATATATTTTTTCATTAATTCATTAGTTGAGATTTTTTTTATGTGCACATGGGACAGTGTAAGATGCAAACAATAAGGAATTATATTATCATAAAAAAATTTATGAAGTCTCTTTATGAGTTTTTTTTTTCTTGTTTAGAATTTATTTTTATAACTTACTAGTTTCTCTTTACATCTTAAAATTTGTTTACTGTATACGTATGTATGACTTGCGCCACAGGTGGTTTTTGTCAAATTGAATAAATAAATAAATAAATAAAATGCTTAATTCACATAGAAAAAAACAACAGACTGAATTACATGGCGTATTTATCTGAGCTTAAAAAAAATAAAATGAGAGCTTAAGAGTAATTACATGATATTTGCTATTTATGTTCAACCTAAATTTTTCACGGATTTAGAACTTGAAAAGCCTTACGTTTCTATAGTTAAATGTAGCTTTTATCTGTATCTGATATTTCATTCCAAGTCAGAAAAAAATCTGCTACACTTTTAAATCTCGAATATCTATGAAACGTGATTGATTTAAATTGTGTAATATACAGGAAAGTCCTATAGCTACGATAAGATACCTAGGTACATTTAAGGTCTTTATAAAAAAAAAAATAACCCGCGCTTGAACATTTGGAGAGGGGGTCAAATAAATTGAATAATGCCTAATGCTATATGCCGAAAGAATGTGTCGCCTGACCATTTCCACTATCGCTCATTTAATGTGTAAATGCATCTCTATTTTAAAAAAAACGACAGAAAACATGAATAAGGAATTCTGATCTAAAATTTCTATTATTCATCTTAACTTTAACAGCTGTAGAACCGAAAAATTCGGACACATAAAGAAGGGGCTGGTTTCGACCATTAATATGTAAAAGAAATTATCAAGAATACATGTAGAAGTGAAATCAGATATCAATTTTTTTAAAGCTGACTAAATTCCCAAAGTGAACGGCAAAAAAGCTGCGGAGGCATAAATTAAACTTTTTTTTACAACGCTTAGATCTGTGGCTCGTTTACATATTGTTTTGGAATGTCGGCTTAAAAAATTTCCATTTCGACGTTAGAGATCGTGCGACAAATTAACTTTCAAAAATATCATACGCTTGCCTAAAAATAGGAGAAAAATATTTTGTAAAATATCGGATATCATTAAAATTCTAAAGCAAGGAAAAGCATAAAGAAATATAAAAGAAATAATAACCACGTG